TACTGCGCGAAGCACGTCCTCCTACAAGCTCCAGCTGGGTAGTAGGGATTAAAATCCTTATGTCCATTTTTTTTTGCTATACTGGAGAATTTAATGAGTGTAGAGTTTTATTTTTATTTTCATACTTTGCCCTGAATAAAACTTCAGAGTCAACCAGTGACCAAAAATTGCAGAGTTTAACTGTAACAGTGCAGCAATCTATTTGTTTAGTTTTCAGTTTTTTGTGATGTAATTTAAAGAAATTTTAGTACTTTCCCAGAACTGTTTTCGGACGTACCAAAAAATGTCTAAATGATGCTTCAAAAGAAAATTCATCCAACGCTTTGGTAGAGCAGCTCCAAAGGAGGCTTATTAACCGTGGCACTTACTTTGAGCTTGAAATTTCTGATGGTATAATTTGTTTTTTTTTTTTCAAATTTTTACATATCGTGTTCAATATTTTCAAGGAAATGCGTTTATATCGATAATGTTTCAGAGCTATCTGCTGTTTTGGAAGTGAATTAGTAAAACGCGGTCAGTTTTGCAGGATTTCCTACGATTGCTGATTTACCCATAGAACTTTTAACAGTGATCGTTAGATATGTGGTTGGCAGCGAGTTAGATGTCATCAGTTTAGAAATGTTGTCTTTGGTTTCATCAGGATTCTATCTATTGGCGAGGTTTTGTCGAATGTTTCTTTGCGGTTTAACGCCTTTGTCCGAGTACTGATCAGTAATTTTAATTGTAAGTTGTAGGAATTACGACATATGGTATTTAATATGCAAGAAAATTTTTCGGGTACCGTGTCCCAATGTTGTACGTGATGTTGATTGGCGCCTAATGTTTATGACAATACCTCACTTGTATTTCCACGGTGTCTACATTGGGAAATGCTCGTATGTTCGTTATGGTGAAGCGTCATTTCAGGTACCATGAAGGACTAGTTGATACTTGCTTATTATCAAAACTTTCAAATCTTTACCAGCGGTTTCGTCTTATTTTTGATTTAATTGTTTTTTCAGTGCAACTTTAGTTGCTTTAATAAAAAATTCGACAGCTAAAACATCTATTTTCTCAACTTTCAAAAGTGATTGGGTAGTTGATGGTATTTTAGTTGTTTTTTATCTTTCTAATTTTGTCAGTGTTTTTGATTATTAGCAGCTATTTTTGTTTACTTTCTTTTCAAATTTTAGTTTTATGCCGGTCAATTGATTATAGGATCAGTTCCATCGACCGTGCCATATCGTCGTCTATTATCGACACTTTAGATTCTTCGCAGATGGTA